TAAAAGTGTGCAAGAGATTTAAACCAAAAAAAAGAAGAGTTTCATTCTTGACATGGTGTTACTGTACCTCTGAGCCTCCACTGACATGGGAACTGACCTTGGTCCTGAAATCTGACACCATACTCTGTTCAGAATTTGGAGAACTGGATTTTGGTTTGAAGCTCTTTAATGTCGTCCAGTACAATATTACTTCAAAGTCTGCAAAACAAGCTTGTTGTTATTCACAGGCTAGATTTTATTAAATGCTGAATCAACAGCCCTGGTTTGACCTAAGAGCATTACAAACATATCTTTAGAAAATGATTACCAGCTCTGAATTTAAAAATATCTCTTTTATGCACTCCAGGAAAAGTGCTGTGTCGTACACTGTTCCTACAAGATGTGGTTAAGACAGTTTAAGAACTATTTCTGAAAAAAAACTATGCTCATATACGTCCCAGTCATTTGAAAATCAAAAATGAAAAAATGACCTTGGTGTGTTTGTCACTTTAGCTAGTCTTTTTCTGTTACAAAACTTAAAAAGGAATCAAGAACCTTCTACAAGAGTTCTACCTGTACTTTTCCTGCCCTTTTCACCAACAACTGGAATGTGAGGTAGCTAATTCACTTGCCAAATTGTATGTGAAAAGATATCTCTCACTAAACCAAGTCAACAAGACTTTATTCAAATATCCTTCCTTATGTGTTCACTAAACTGTGATGAACTAGTCTTAATCTAACAATCCAGTTTCTATGAAAAAGGATGAAACTCTTGTCTTTTTCTCCCTTATATACCCAGAGCACACACCTTCATTAACAACATCAGTGCTACAGTAGGTTAACTCAGGGCCACTGTCCCCTTGGCCTTAACAAAATTAAGCCGGGCAAATATACTGTCGTTTTTACACTTTCTTTTTCCCTTTTTGGGAACGTCTGACTTTGTACAAAGTTGTGAAGCAATACAGTATAGCAATACAAAATAGGAAAAGACAGCAACTATCAGTAAGAAAACAGTACAGAGTATATGCATAGGCCACTCCCTTATTGGAGATGTCTTATTGAACATTTGTTGAAGATAAGGAGTACCTCTTGCCTGGAGGATCACAATATACTGTACATAGTCAGATGCATATGCATGCTGACAATACATTAAATCAACTGTGACACATAATCTTCATATTGATCATTTATCTTTTCATGACTATAATGGGTTCATCTTAACTCATCTGTTTATGGAAAATTACACGTATTCAAGTATATCGCTTTTGATAAAGAGTAATCACTAGTGTCATAGCTACAGCCTATCTTGGCAAGCAACGGGCGAAAGGCAGGATTCACCCTGGATGTGACACTAGTCCTTCACAGGGCTCACAAAGACACAGATGCAAACATGTACACATTCACACCAGGCCAATTTTCCCAGAAGCCAATTAACCTAATTGTATGGTAGCCACTCGAACATGGGGAGAAAATACAAACTCCACACAGTTAGTACACCAAGTCCAAAAACCAGGGTCCCAGCCCTGCGAAGCAACGTTAACTACTGCGCCACTGTTATTATAATAAAAAAAAATCAATGATTAATTATCGTGCCTACTTGGTACCAGTAACACTGGGGAGCATCAGTTCTGTCTTAAAAAATGTCCCTCTTAAATAGATCAGGGTACTGTGCACTAGTCACATTGGCACTGGAAGTGACCAGAAAATGGCCAGACAGAATGAATTACTGTATTGTTTGAATTCAGAGTCTTGTTTTATTGGAAACAAGAGCAAGGTAACCACAATGGGAAATTCTCCCTCTGGGCATATGATTTGCTTTCAGTTTGACTCTAAACAGATGTGCCCTTTACATATAATGGGATCTTTAAACCTAACGACATTTAAGGGTTGTAATAATCTTAAAAGTTAGCCGAGCCTTTTATTTCTTTTTCTCTGGGAATGAGGTACTGCAGAAGTAACTGCGTCACAAGAAATACAAAATACTCATCTTGAAGTGAAGGCTCTAAGACAGTTTTGAAGACTTTTAGTAAAGGTGAAAGATCACAGGCAAATATATTTTGTGGATTCCTATGCGTGCTCCATAATAATCATAATTCTATCAGTACACATACATAAGTATGAGAACATCGTGCATTCAAATTTGTTCATAGGTCTGGAACAGCAACATGTCTAGACAGATCACAGATGGGTTGTTCTGTTCCATAGAAAGTGTGACCCTATATGCACTAATAAGATATAAGTTTGCATCCGGACCTTAAGGTCAGGTCATTGGTAGGGCAGAGCACATTTGTGTTCCATAGTAACCATAACCCTACTGTATATGCACCCTGTCTTGAGTTCTAAGTTGAATTTGCATTTAACCACATGGAGAGGTCAAATGTTTTATTATGTATAGCAGGGTCTCCAGTCACTGCAGACATCAGCACCACAAAAACCTTCCACCTAGCCCACATTGATGTGGAATTCCTGGAGCTTCTCTTTTGTTGAAGGTTTAGAGCCAGGCTACCTTGAGGCCTGGAGCATCAGCCCTCAGTGACACTATGAGGAACACTGGCTTCCCAGAGAAGTTTTGCTTTCTAATACAGTAAACCCCTCTTAGGGCCGCTATCTTGCTCCTTAATGTGAATACATGCAATTAACCCACCTACTTCCATTCCTCTGTCTTAATTTAGCCTACAGACTAATAATTGTACTGTAAACATGTGTTGTAGCTTAAGCAAGTATACACCTGTTAAGTTTACATGAAAATAGGGAGATGTTTCTTTAATGTACTGATATTTCTTGAGCAACTGTGAAAGTACAGTATAGTCAAAGTTTTCACAAACATACTGTAGTCATCTATGATCAATGCTTTTCCATTGCTGTGGAACATTAAACAATGTTATTGGAGAACTAGAATGTAGATAAAGAATATAAAATATAAAGATATAAATAGAATGTAAAGAAAAATCAAAATCCAGAATATGTTAATGGCATAAATATTCACAATATCCCCCCACCCCCAGACCGAGTCAATATTTGATGGAAGTACCTTTGGCAGCAATTATAGCTGCAAGTCTTTTT